GGGGAAGCCCAAACCCCGTCCTCTTCTGTACGTTCTCCTCGCCTTTGGTGAGCGGCTCTGCAGAAGGCACAGGAGCTGCTTGTTTTGGGGTTTTTAAATTGATTTTTAGGTGTCATGCCTGGCCTCGGCTCTCTTCTGGGTAATTAAAAAACGCCGGTAACTTTATGCATGGAAACCTGTTGTTAATTCTGCCCCTGGCCTCTTTATTTCTCCATGGCGGCGTGCGCTGAGCTCTTCGCGGTGCTCTTGGCAGTTTGCTGGTGAGGAGGGAGTGAGGAAGGGTTTTCTGTTTCTGCAAAGCAGCGAGAAGCGTCCAGATAACGTTACAGAGATTGCGGCTCCTCTCTCTTTCCCGGGGCCTTTTCCCACAGCCTCACCCGCTTGCCAGCATGGACACGTCAGCGGTATCCAGTGACTTTCCGGAGCGTCCCGTCCCGCACCTCCATCAACAGGGTCGTAAAACAAGCGGAGGAGAGAGGGAGGAAGGTGTGCTAATCCGGGGCGGTAAAACCAGCCGTGCACCCGTCAGCGGCCTGCTGCAATCGCCCCAAACAGGAATCTGCAGCGTGCAGGAGCTCTTTTTTCTAGAAACTGAGTTCACGAGCTCTCTTACGGCAGCTTTGATGCCGTCAGTTTAACGCCCTTAACATAATTTATCGGAACAAATCTCTTGATGCGGAGAATTTCAGAATGATTACTCACCGCTTGGCCTCGTGGCCAGGATCAAGTGTTTGCGAGGGGTTTATCTGCCTCCGGAGGGCCGCCTTCTGCGCTGGCAGGGGCGGCTGCGTGATCTCACGGGTTTTCTTCCATCTCCAGCCGCTGTGATTAAGAGCGTTGGCTTTGACTCGTAGCTCGGGCCTGAATTCCACAGTTTTCCATAAGAGCTTCCCAAGAGAAGCACTTGAAATATTGAGGCTCTTCCAGGGACGTGGAGGAGGTTTTTATTGTGCACGACTTGTGTGCAAAGGTGCCTCGCTCGGAAGCATTTCCCTTGCAAATTTTTGGACCTTTGTTTTCTGGATTAGTGCAAATAGGATTTGTTATTTCTTTAACTTTCTCGGAGGAAACACCTCGAGTATTCAAATATTCAAGTCTATTGACAATATTCAGGAGCTGAACTGTCAGTTCCCCACGCTGACTGTATAACCTCTTTGTTTTTCCTCGTATAGATTTCAGCTTTTTGTGCTGCTCGGTGATGTCATTTCGAAGAGGTAGACGGATTGTGTATTTGTGCTTAAAAAAAGCATGATTTCCTCCTCCCGTAACCAGCAGCAAAACGCTGAATTACGTAACTGTCTTGGCTTTTGAGGATTGAGAAAACTTGGTTGGTGGGTTTTTTTTTTTTCTTCCCTTAAATAAGCTGCTCCCGCTCTCAACAAAAGCCGCTGTTTGATTGAAGTGTGTTGTGTAAGCGCTCTCCTGACATCTAAACCGCTCTCCGCATCCCTGTGCGCACCAGCAGGATTGTTCCAGCGGGGCTTTGCTGCTTTGGTTTCTGCCTGGTTTGCACTTTGGGGGGGGAAAAAAAAAAAAAGGAAAAAAAAAAAAATCTCTCTGCTGGTCCCATTTGCAGCCCTGGCCTTGCACTGGGGGGGACTGATGGAGGACGGGGGAGAAAAAAAATGTGTTGGGGGATTTCGGTGCGGACGGCGACTTGGATGTGTCCGCAGAGGCTCCAACGTACCCCGCGTCCCCCAGGTAGTGTCGGAGGGGTCTAAGGCTGGGGCTCACCGGACTCTGCGGGTGCAGAAGCGCTCTTATCGATGGTGCCACCGCCCGCAGGCAGAGTCCGGGTGAGGAAGGAGAATATTCTGATTTTTGAGCATTCAGAGGACCTGTCTGGGGAAAACCCCGCTGCCTCCCTCGCCCTGGTGGCTTTTTTGGGTGGGATAAAGCCGGCGGGAGCGGGAGGACGGGCTGTGCATGTGGTGTGTCGTGGCGCTCGCCTTGCCCTGCTCCGGCGCTGGAGACTTGGGCTGGATGACGCATTTGGGTGTGCTAACGTTTTCACTTTTTGTTTTTGTCGAAAACATGAGGCGCAGCTAAAATCTGTCTGAGCGGCTCTGTTTAAAAATAGACCCAAGAGGGTGGTTGTCCTGGCTGGACCCCATTAACACGCTCGTTTGCTAGACGAATGCCTCGTTAGGTGCTCCTTCCCGTGAAATATTTGTCCGAACCGTTTGACCAGGTGCCATCGCCACACCTTTTTAGTTTTTTTTCCCCAGTTTTTACGTCTCGGTCAGTAAGGGGAAACTATCTGTTGCTGGCTGAAAGTAATCCCGGGCAGCTCGGGCTGGCGGAAGGCAGGCAGTTATTTTTTAAACTTGATTCAGCTTCCAGTAAACAGCTCTGAGGAATGTGCTGAAATCACCCGTAGGGATTGCTCCCAGAATCCTGAAAGAAAGAGGGAGGGGGGGAAAAAAAAAAGAAAGAGAAACTTTTTGGGACATAATGACTTCATGTTTGGACAGGATTTTCTAACCCTACTCTGTTTCCTTTGGCCAGAATTATCTGTTTGGGTCTCTCGAGGCATTTGATCGGTTGTCAGCCTGGGTCTGAATGATGGTTGATGATCTTTCAGTTTAAAGAGGAGTTTAAATAGCTGCAGAAGCAGCAGCTTTTTGGGAATTATTTCATTTAGTTACATTTACGCCGTTGGATTTAACACCTTCGCTTCTCCAAGCAGAGCGCGTGTGGGACGACCCCTTGTCGCGGCAATAAAAAGAGGTGGAGGCAACTGAAATGTTTTCACGTGGAAACCTCCGAGTTTTGCTCTCTGCCCTCAGCCAGTAACGCTTTTGGCGATCCCGAGAGCTCGTTTTTGCAGGAGGACGCGCGACAGACCCCTGCGTGGCCTCGGTCCTGCCTCAGAGAGGAGCAGAGCCCGTCGGCTGCGTGCTCGTCCTTGAGCGCGGGTGCGAATGAGTGTTTTTCGTCGTGGTCAGACAGGAATTACCTATTTCCCAACCAGCAGCAAACTTGTTTGGAAACTAGCGGGAGGGAGGGGGGAGTTTCCGGCCGCGGAAACTGGGTGTGCCGGGACTGGGGCGATGCTGCGGCTGCACCGATGCTCCGGCGGCAGCTGCGGCTTTCCCCTATTGACTCACCCCTTCTTGTAACCGGAGCGATTGGGAGGATTGTGTCGCTTCCCAAATCACTGCGTGAAAGGACGAATGGGGACACCGCGGTCGTGGGGCGGCGGGGAAGAGGAGGCAGTGAAGGCGATGCTCTGGTCTGTGCCGGGATGCTGGATGTCTGATAGAATAGTTTTTAGTTGGAAGGGACCGTGGAGTCATCAAGTCCAACCCCCTTAAAATCTTCCCTAAAATCACGGTGACACCTCTAGAGGTGTCCCCGTTGTGTCGCAGGGGACAAACCCCACGCCCTTTGGGTTGCTTGGCTCCTCCAGCCAAGGCTCGTTGTATGTTCTCACTTTTGATGTGTGTTAGGTGAGATTGAGGCGGCAGGGAGGAGATCTGCCGCTGGCTCCTCTGCGGGAGAGCTGCAGTGAAATCCTGGTGGGATACGGTTTTGCACGGCTGATTAAATGTTAACATGGCAAATCTCCAAGGCGATGAGGCTGGCGGTGCTGCTTCGGGGTTGCTTGAATCATGGGGCTTTTGGAGGTTTTGATTTACATAATTACAGATGCTCACTTAAAAAAAAAAAAAAGGTTTAATTGCTATTGAGCAGGTGTTATATCATGATGCCCGGGATGTCTCCTCCGTCCCTGGTCCTGATGGATCTTGACAAGTTCAAAAGCCTCGTAGGCAAGGTGATGGGGTCGGGTTTATTGGTTTCTTTGTCACAGAAGGTTCCCTCTAGCCCAAGAGGCTCCTGAATCCGAGCCGGTGGCGAGGGGAAGAGGTGAAGGGGGGCTGCTGGCTCCAGAGCCCTGAGTGTGCCAGGGGAGGAGGAGGAACTTCGAACACAAAAATTGAAGCTTGTTGGGTGAAACTTTCTTGTCTTTAAAGGGGATGAGAGGGGGTGGGAAGGCGCTTGGAGCCAGTCGTTGTGTGCTCGCTTTGTTTAGCAAAAAATGTTTGTCACCGATTTTTTTTTTTGTTTTTTTCTTCTTGTTTGCTTGTTTAATATGTATTGAAATGAGAGCTTTGATCATTCGATAAGGGGATCAGAAGGCTGCCGGGGTTTGCCGTGAAGTGCTTCTGTTCCTTCTGCTGAAACACGGTTTTTGTAGAGCCGTAGCGCTTGCTGTGAAATCCCAGCGTGAGGCTCCTCACTGCCTGCAACAGGCGAGCAGAAGGGGCTGGACCAGCGCCGCTGCCAGGAA